ATATATAGATACACACACACACACACACACACACACACACACACACACACACACACACACACACCATACGCGCGGTAATAATGTCGACGTTTTGTAATCGAACCGACCTGCGACGTTTTGTACAAGTTTTGTTTCCAAGGCGCCGCGAGCACTACGGCGCCAATTCAGTTTCTGAGTTAGGGGAATTCGTTTGTTTCGCGATACGTACTTTGCTTCTCGACTGCCAAGCACAGTGCGGCCGATCACCGTCAAACCAGATAAGCGTATCGGTTCACGTATATAAGTTCTCTCACTGCCATCGAATCCTTAGTCCCCCGATAGAACGCGTCAGGATCGTTCATTAACGAGTAAAAGTTGCATCCTCATCACGCTTCAACGAATTCTCTTGTAAGCGAAAGGGCGAACGGACACTTTGCCCTTTCATTACTTAATTAACTTAGCCTTTGTAACCATCGAGAACCCCCGAGGAAGCGGCGGAGATCAACACACGGAATGCACAATCATCGCCAGTAAGCTAATCGTTTCTTGTCTGTCGAGAGATCATGCCTGGACCAACGATTGGAAACCGCTCGCGACTCTTAGTTAACCCTCCACATTCGAGAATTTTTTCTGGTTCAACTAGAGAAGCTACAAGGTCCATTCCTACGTTGAATTGTTCCTCGGACTTTCCCGAATACAACGGTATATATTTTTGTAACATCGGCGGCGTTTGAGCTTGTTTAAATAATTTTCGAAGGGACCGGTGCACGCTCGGTTTTCTGTATCATGTTTCGTGCATCGTCTCTTGGTTCTTTATGAATCGTTTCAGAATGTTTGAACACTTGCAATTCGATCGAAACGTATACTGTTCCACTTGGGAGAGTCTAAGGAAACTGGTGAATTGATTCCAGCGAGGGTTAACCACGAGCAGCGGCGGTGATCAACTGCAAACGAAAATCAACAAATTAATTTCCACTGTCCAAATGGACGGACTTTCTTTTCAGACGCTTCGAGCTCGATTTATGTGATATCGGAAGAAAGTTACTCACGAGGAAGAATCGTATTTAACGTTAAGGATCGGTGCTAGTAAGGTTCGTTGCTAGTTCTAACGCGATTTGTATCGGGCACGCCCGCTGAAAGTATGTACATAATCCATGATTATTATATAGTCTCTCGCAATCCTCGATGTTTCTTGTATCGGTCAAAAAGAGAAAGAAAGAAAATTACGTGACTGCTGTTTCTTAAGCTATGGAATAAGTTCGCTAGTCGGATGGATAATAGCCCTAGACAAAAAAAAAAGTACTTTCAGAATATCGTTTATTGGTTGCGAAATATTACAATGATACATTGTACTTCCGTTGAGGCCTCGTAGAATGAAACAAAGCGAAAGGAAGAAAGGAGAAGGAGGAAGATGAAGAAGAAGATGAAGACGGAACAACAAGATTACTTTACAGTAACGCCTGTCTGCCTGTCGAATGGTTCATTGTCAATTACAAGTGCAGAGATTTTTCTAGATTTGTATGAGAAGTGGATAACTGCGTAGCGATCAGTTCTCGTGTAGCCGACAATATTGTATAATTACCGACTTCCGCGTTCAGTTGCCAGACAGAGAGAGACATCGATTCATTGTAAATTGTCCGTGTACAGGGAACGTTTACGTTTACGTTAACGAACGCCAAAAAAAAGAAAGAACACAGTCTAGCAACTTCGTAACTGTCCGAATGAATGCTTTTCTGAATGTCGACGCAAAAATGTTAGCCGCAGTGCATCACAGCCGTGGTGCGGTACATATATACACACGCATATATATGTATTCATGTAATAAGTATAAAAGCAAGCAAAAAGAAAAAAAATACCGTGTAACCGATCAACTTGAAAGTATCTATTCGTAACAATGAAAGTGTAGTCTATTGTTATATGGGATAATTCTTCAAAAACAAATGAGACAATAAATATAATTTTGTTAAGAAGAAACTGGTTAATATCGTCGCTAGGACAACAAGGTCGGCCACTTACTTATTTATGCATTTAGACTGCGATCGGCTGCTATAAATTGGTTTTGTAACCGGATATGAACGGCAGCCCCGTGCCGACTGACTTCTGGTAATCGGCGTAGTCTTGCCCGAAGAAGTACAGCAGCGTGATCTCCTCGAGCAGGATACGCGAATGGAAGAACTTCCAGGACGCTATCGCATAGGCCAGTAAGCAAAATGGGTTCTGGAGTATCAGCTGCAAATTGAAATACATGATTACACTTCGTCTTACCCTTCGACTTCACGAATTTTTCCTGACTTAACCATGGCAGCTACATGAACGACTCTTACGTAGAATAATTCTTTGGACTCTCGCGAATACAATGGTATATTTTTTAATAACATTATCGACATTTAAACGGGTTTAAATAATTTTTGAAGAGACGCCTACCGCGTGCCTAAGTATGAAAATTTCTTGGACCGGAGAAATGAATTTTTAATTTTCTTTGGATAATTACCTGTGTCCCAATGGACCAGTAGAACCACCCCACATAGCTGGGATGTCTGCAGAGCTTGTACACTCCGTACGTGACTAGTTCATGGTTGTCGTTCTTCTCACTCTGTACAATATGGTTAAAATTTTGCTTTGCCGTGAACATGGCCATCTTCCTCAACACTTCTCCACCGATGCAAAGTACTAAGCCGAAGTAGGATATGCAGGAGGGTTCCTTCATTCCTGGGAAATACTCTCTCTCCACGATAAACTCTACCCAACTGGAGCATGCTGCCACTCCGTAGGCTATGCTGTGATTTAGAATGAAGCTGCCTATAGACAGAGTGCTAGGATTTATCCATGCTATGCTCAGGAACTCGGAGTAATGAAATGTAGCTAGTACAATAATGTAGACACCGAACATCTGCCACGAGGATGGCAAGATCAGAGCTATTAACAGGCCAATTCCATACGCATAGCCCAAGAACACTGCTCTAGTCGCAACCTGTAACAACGGAGACGTAATTAAATATACATATAAATATGCGTGTACAAGGAGTCTTGGCTAAATATCTATCTTATTTATTGCATCATAAAATTTCTTAGGGCAAAGCTATATTATTTCAGACGGGAAATTTAATTCTGGAACAAATTTGATCGAAGGTCACCTTCTCGCGAATTTTCGACAACGACGGATTTTTCGATATTCTTACAGATCGTGAAAAGACAAATCCAACAAGTACAATAACCGTGCCCTTCGGTCTATTTAATCTCGAGATATTTGTGTCTGAAAGTTTGAAGGTCGTCGCCTTTCAGACACAAATCTTTCCAGACTGAGTGGACCAAAAGGTATGGTTATTACACTCGTCGGATTCGTCTCTTCGCGATCTATCAAAATATCGAAAAATATACACAAGGTACCGTTCAAAAAAATAGCGGTGAACTTGAAATTTCATAAATAAATGAACTTGAAGAAAAACTTTCACCCGTCGTTACGTGTATCCTTTAAAACAGTATAATTTTGTTCTGCGAAATTTTATTATGGGACAGTAAATAAAGGAGTAATAATCCAATTTAACCAAGTAATGTATATATCCTGTATATTTACCTTGTAAGTGAAGTCTCGAAATGCAAATAGCAGTATGAAATTCAACAGTGCATACTGAAATAAATGCAGAAGCCAGACGTTGCTGAAGTAGAGCCGGTAAACGTCGAGCTCTAACCTCAAAAGGACGCCTGGCAGACTCGCCACTATCCCGGCCACAATGAAACAAAGTAAACTAATTTTCCCATCGTAGCACAACATCTTATGCACTCAACGATTGACTCGATGCTTCCGTAGCGTTCGAATAGATCACCATCGTTGTCTGACGGCGTAATTACTTAATCCATTGTCCACGAACACAGATTTAGGATCCTAAGTCTGCGCCACGGATCTCATCCTTTTTACGGGCAACGGACACATATCAATAATCTCCGATGTTGACAGATATCATGTTACTACGAATCAAATTTGTGCTGTCATCCGCTTCAAGATAACACAGAGACATCGTCCTCACTCCTTGCTGTTTGGATCAAACGGCACAGACTTCGATTGACTTCAATCGTTCGTTATTATTTACAGGATTTATTCAATTATTCACATGCCTGGGCAGCAGAAAATGTCATGAAACGAATCGCAGAACATCCAGCGGACACGTCCGTGCCTTATTTGTTCAGCAGAATCCTCCATTGCACTAGTTATAAGCAATTTTCCATTTCAAGTTAAAATATCGAATTTTCCAGCAAATGATTCGTGCCGCTGTCCCCGTAAGGTGCCACGTAAAGTCCGGCACGAATTATCTGCTATCTCCAAACACCCGAATAGCGCCAATTCATGCAGCGGCAAAACGCCCAAACTTCTCGCCGAATTAGTTACAAATTTCGCCGCTAGATGTCGCACACGATGCATTCCCGGTAACAACTAACTCGGCGACATGTTTGAGCATTTCGTCGCGAGATGTCGCCACCTACGATTCTGCCGGTAATTACCGACGCTATCCTCACCTGTCGGTAAATTGGCGAACAGTTTGGGCGTTTTGCCACCGCATGAATTGGCGCTGTTAGGCCGTTTGAAGACAGCAGATAATTCGTGCCGGAATTTACATTGCTCCTTACGGGAAAAGCGGCACGAATCATTCGCTCGTATAATCAGTTCTGGAACAACAAACTAATAACCGTTTGGAAAATGCTTCTCCGTCGAAGATCTTCATCGTGCGAGGTATCAAATCGAAGCTCGAGAACTGTACTTTACGCTAGATATATTTCGGTTCAACGATAATTACGATACGCGTTAAAAATTGAAGAAAAACCAACACCGTGTCCCAGATATCACATGCTCGAACGCAAGGGTTTCGAAAAATTAACTTCTCTACACGTTCTCGCGAAGATTTCCCAATCCCCGCGGGTTCAAATTAAAGCTGGAAGAACGCACTTCACGCTCGATCAATCGTTATTCACTAATAATCCACCAGAAGTACCGAAAACAAGCGAATAAATTACACAGCAGCCGTTGACAAATAAAATTCACAGAGCCCCAGCAGGGTTTCGAACGAATCTAAAATCCCCGAAAGCAATTCTCGCGACAAAGAATAGCGTAAATTAGGCGATCTAGGAAAGACGAGACGTGGCAAGCCGGCTGGCAAGTTCCGGGAGCGGGAAGCAGCGTCTGTTGCCAGAGAAAACAGGGGTGCAGCCGCTTCGGGGAGACAGCGATCCAGCAGAAGTAGCGCAGCCGGTTTCCTCGCGGCGATGCTGCGTTAATCTATCGCCTGGGAACGGAAGCAAAAAAAGTGCCGGTGGTCGTTACGCTCCGGCGTCGAATCCCTTGAACGTTTCCCGGGCCCCGGTTGGAAACGTTGTTCCTTCGGCGAGCTGTTAATCCTGATTGCGGCCGTTGGACGGTCCAATTTCGAGCACCGCGTGCCTCTGATCGGACAAATTGATTTACCTTCACCTGGGGGACGGGCTCCCATTGGCGTGCTCCTCCTGGTATCATCGAGCGTACATCGTGCCTGACAACGGGACGCGGGCGTCAACAACGTTATTGGACACGAGACGTCCAATCAAAGTTGTATTCACCGCGCGACGGCAATATTTCGCGGAGGAGAAGCCCCGGCATCATCGCGCCGCAGTCCAATAAATTGCCAATTTTTTCGTCTCTCGCCGGCAAGGTCTCCCCGCTTTTTCCCCTCTCCGCGACCGAGCCGTCGCTAATTGCCGGCCGACACAGACCGGCCCGATTGGCCCGTTCTTTGCCTAACGGCTCCAGACAACGCCCGTATCGGCTCTGTCCGGGCCTCTCGTTAGCATTTATCGGCAAGCCGGAGTTTCCTGTAACTAGGCCTAACGTTCCAGAAACTGTGTCACCTCGGCGGGACATCGGACGTTGAAGGTTCTCGTCGCGCGACGTTGTTAAATTAAAGCTAATTCATTGGTAGGCGACGGATCTTTTGGCGGAATAAAAATTCTCCGGTGGAATCGCGAGGAACGGAAATGATATCGAATTGAATTGTGTTTCACTTAATCGTTTCGACGATAATGTACGTTTGAAAATATATTATACATATATTATCGGATATTATTCAATTCTTCTTTCATCTTCGTAATCTTCTATTTCAGCCGTCGTTCATTTTCTACTTGTTTCTAATTTCCATGCTCCGACACTTAGCATCCCACACTCTATCTCCTCGATGGCCCGGGTCCTAAATGGACTCTAAGGTCTTGCTCGTTGCTCGAAGGTCCCAAGATGACACGTACTGAATTGAAGACACCGTCATCGACTGAATTTATCGGAGAGCAAAGTATATTGTTCTGTTAGATTCTGTGATAATAGTAATAATCGTGCTTTCTTGCAAGAAAATATGGCACCGCGCAGTCGTCGATGTGAACGGACTTATTATACAATTTCAATCTAGTTTACCCTGCCTTCAAGTAGACACTTCCAGCTGTCGTTTAAGCTAAGTTGCATAGAAATAGCTCTACGGGATCGTCATTTAAAATTCATCCGAACTTTTCCTTTTAGGTCTTGTAAACACGACGGTGTCAGACATCGATTCCTTTTAATTTTTCAAAATGATCTCGTCATTATGAGGCAATTTTACCTAGCCTGTCTTAAAGTAGACAGTTTCAGCTTTCATTCGAGCTAAGTTGCATCGAAATACGCCCTCGAGAACGTACCTCAAAATTACATATTTCAACACATCTCGAAACATATTTCGAAACCCCATGATGTCGGAGGTCGTTTCTTTTTAATTTTTCAAAATGATCTCGTCATTATGGGACAATTTAACCTAGCCTGTCTTAAAGTAGACAGTTTCAGCTTTCATTCGAGGTAAGTTGCATAGAAATACGCCCTCGAGAACGTACCTCAAAATTACATATTTCAACACATCTCGAAACATATTTCGAAACCTCATAATGTCGGAGGTCGATTCTTTTTAATTTTTCAAAATAATCTCGTCATTCTGCTAGAATCTAATCTACCCGGGCTTAAAGAAGACATTTCCAATTATCACTTAACCTAAGTTACATAGAAATAGCTCCACGAAAACGAACCTTAAAATCCATCCGAACATTTCCCTTTAAATCTTTCAAACACCACTATGTCAGAGATCGATTCCTTGTAATTTTTCAAAATGATCTCGTCATTCTGCTACGATCTAATCTACCCTGTCTTAAAGAAGACACTTCCAGCTGTCATTTAACCTAAGCTGCATAGAAATAGCTCCACGAAAACGAACCTCAAAATCCATCCGAACTTCTCCCTTTAAATCTTGTAAACCCCACGACGTCACGCGTCGATTCCTCTTAAGTTTTCAAAATGATCCCGCCATCCTATTACAATCTTCTCTACCCTGCCTCAAAGAAGACACTTCCAGCTTTCATCTAAGCCAAGTTGCATCGCAATAGCCCCACGAGAACGTGTATCTCAAAATTCATCCGAACTATCGCTTCGAATTCGTGCAATTTCCCTCGTCCTTTCCAAGGTGTCGGAGATCCGCGAACGGGCTTATTACACAGCCAAACAGATAGGCCCGACATGCCGGCACAATAATCCACGTCCTAAACGGACGCTTGCTTGTTGCTCGAAGATCCCGGAACGGCACCTACCGAACGCTCCGCAAAGCCCCGGTTCAAAACGTCTCGGAGCGAAGCCCGGCCCGATATTTGTCGAGGCGACTGTTTGTAAACGGTTATGGCGGCGCTGCGAGGCGCCTGGGCGAGGGGCGAGGGGCGACGAGCATAGAGAACGGTGCAGATAAGACCGGTCGAAGGATAGGGGCCGAAGAGATAATGGAGGAGTTGGCTGTCACGGATTGTGGGTAACTCAATCGGGAACTTATTCCGTGCCGGTTCTCCATGCTTTTGAGGTCGCCGCGGCTCAAAGGGTCCGATTCGGTCGGTGGAAGTTCCGCGGGATTCCGAGGATGGTATTATTAAGAGAAGCCGAAAATGTGGTGCACGCCGGCGCACGCCATTGTGAATTATTAATGGTGCGTCGACGGTTCCGGAACGGCGCTTAGGGTATGCAGCCCGCGGATCCGTCGAGCGGCCGCGAGTTAACGTCGACGAGGATCCTCGGCCGAGTTTCCTGGCTGGCAGAAAACTGACGAGTGTGTCCTGACAAGCAGCCTGTTGCGTGACCTGCCCGATCAATATCTGTACAGGCGCAACAACCGCAATCCGCCGCTCGTGTCTTCCTAACGGACCGGGTCCCGTTCCGCGTCCTCGTCCCTTCGCGCCCTTCCCGACCAGCACCCCTTTTTTCTCCCTCGTGCGCGACGTGTGCTGTGGGATCCGAGGGAACGCTGGTCGAGTGCCCGTCGCTCAAGGTCCTTCCCGTTGATTCCGGAAAGGGTTGCTTTCGTCGAGGACGAAAGGAAGGCCGGGCTCCGAATGCGCCCTGAGTTGGTTGAACAATTTGTCTGTGTTCGTGGAAAATATGCTGGAATGTTTGTCGCAGGGGTTACTGCGACGGTTTATATAAAATAATCCGAGAGAGTTTTTTGGTTTTTATATAACGAGAACTTTAATATAACTTTAACAAAAGGCGATGAGGTACAGTGTGTAGAAGGTAAAGGTAAACGAGTGACGGAAATATGGACACGTTGAGAGTCGGAGGAAAACTTGCTAACTTGCGAACAAATAACTCGTAAATATATCTTCTTCACGATATGAATAATCGTAAATTAAAAAATTAGAGACCCGTCATTTCGACGGGTTCCGTAAATCTAGTGTTAACACGTTCCGTGTACCATCGATGGTACACGCATGCATGTTTACTTAGTGAACTGAACAAATTGTTTACAAGAAATTTAGAACCGAAGAATCAATTTCCACCGCAAGAATGGGCGTTGATAAGTTTTTGTTACGTTGTTATGTGTACGAGAATTAATAATTGCACGTAATACATCAAGTTTTAGTAAAATATCAAAGTGTGAAGATTCGAGTAAAAAAAGCTCGGCACGGAACGTGTTAATGGAGGAGACTCGCGCGAACCCTGCAAACGAGAGCTGATGTTTGGCAATTTTGTATAACACGAAACCTTGACGAAATTCATCGCCGCTTAGCACATAGATTCTTTAATACTTCAAGATACAAAATGTTTTTTTTCGTTAAGTTTCATCGACCTTTAACGAAACGGTGCATGTCGTTCCTTGTGGAGCTCTCCGTCGACGGCGCGCAATTCTTTCCTTTCATTTACAACGAAAAATCGAACGACGT